AATGTTATAAAAAACCAAAACACTTTTTAATCAAAATAAGGCCTCACAAAACTTTTCTTATTTACATCTTTAACTGGATAGGATTTCTTCATTTCTCAAAATCCCTAGGAAATTCTATTTACGTACATAAACTGGAGGTAATATGCAATGTCACTGACATACTGTACACTTGGATATACTTATGTGCAGAAATATTTATTCAGTTCATAACTAAAAGTACTACTGCATACATTTCTCTGCTTACCTATATCGCAGCCCTCAAAAGCCTGACGATTACTACAAATTTGAAGGAAGCCTGGGCTACATAGTAAGTTCAAGGCCATCAGAAACTATATAGCAAGATTTTGTCTCAAAAAACTGAAGCAATCTCTCTTTCCTCAACACACAATATTTTATACCTTTTCTTCTAATACCTACTAATTTTTTTTGCTAAAATTAATGCATTTTATGTTTCATTCTTCTTCTAGGCATGTCCAAACCACTGTCCATCTCTTTTATGTATCTCCTTAAAATATTAAAATGTAGAAGAGGTTTTGCCACTTATACACATTAACTATATTATTATTTACATGTGGTCCAATATAATTCCTCTTTGTTCCATATGGCCCAAGCACGCCAATAGGATGGATGATTATGATGTCCCAGCATAACAGCTGGCATATGATATCTACACAACAGTGAACTGCCAGATTAAATTTGATAAAATACCATTGTATGTATAATTATAGGTATACATGTGGAAATCTGATACCATGCTAATTTTTAGGAAAACTCTCAAATATACATTCAGGCTATTAGCAGCACAATTCCATCTGTTCAATATCACTTCTTAGAATGAGTGTTCTAAAGAGTAAGTATCTTTTGAAAACTATAGGTGGGGGGGTAGGGAAGAAAAAAAAAAAAACAAGAAAGAAAACTATTTTTGATTCCTTTCTCAACACGACAGTCCATCAAAGCAATATCCTTGATCTTGTACTTTTATACTTGTGACCCAAATCTTTCTAATCCTAAATAGCTGTGCCCTGGCCTAAACTTTTCATTATAGTTACAAGCATTCTTAATTATACCTCTCTGCACTTGTTCCTTACAAGTCACTCATGCATGCTGTTTTCTCCACATGGAATATCCTGGTTTTTTTCCTTTATTTGAGACAGGGTCACGCTATGCAGTTCAGGCTGGCCTTGAGCTTGCGAAGATTCTCCTGCCCCAGTCTTCAGAGTGCTGGGATTATAGGTGTGTGCTACCACTCCAGGCTCATTTCTTTTATATGTAAAAAATCATTACACTTCTACAACAAAATCTGAAGTCTCACATCTCTTCCTACAGGTGTAAACTGGTAGCATATCTATTTTGAGTCAGTTTAATTTTATCACTACTTGGTATAATAGTTATTTTGTACTTGCTCTGTCACTTATAGTACATTTCTGTTACTTGATTTGTTTACATTATATTCAGGGAATTCTCATTTACACAAGATGCGCACATATAAAGGGAACCTGATTAACTGTTGTGGTTTTCAACACAGCAAACACTATTAACAACAGTATAGTTATAAACAGCAGACTTTGAAAGGCAAACTACCTGAGTTTTAATCCTGCCTTTGGTACGTACTCTGAGACAACTTATTTAACATCCATGTCCATTAGCTTCATCAATGAGTTACGTGAAAACTCAAATGAATTCATATGCATTAAAAAAAGCACCTGAGAAGACTACGACAATAACAATAGTGATATAGGATTTCAAATGAAGATGATAGGAATTTAACAATGGTTGTTATATTGTATATTGTTATCTTCAAAATACCTGCTCAGGTTACCAGATACTGGCATGTAACATTGATTAAACAATTTTGTTTTTCCTGTTTGCTTCTTGATTTTTGTGTTTTTTCCTCTTCAGAAAAAAATCCGTAAGATAATGATGTGTGACAATAAAAAATCTCTATAGTAAAATAAATAAAAAGCACCTGACATCATAACTCAATATAACTATTATTAAGCTGTTACAACTTCTATCCTCTAACTTTATCTGAGGATACTGAAGCTCAAAATTTTTAATAATTGCCAAAAAAGAACTACTAAGTTATAAAGCCAGAAAAGAAATGCAAGCTTTCTAACAGAACAATCTATCATCTGACCATTTTATTCAGTATTTTGAAAAATACTAAAATTTTATTTGGTTTTTAAAAGGTCTTCAGGTCATTTATGATTGGGGAGATGAGATGAATTAAAGAAAGACATTGATATATTCAAGAATTAAGAAAAGAAGAATAATATAGCAGATTAGAGTACATGGACTTATGATCATACAAATGAGAGGAAAGTCAGGGAAGCAGTTCATGTTAATGTCAGACTAGCTGAGCACTTTGGGAGGCTAACACAGGATGAAGTTTGTGTCCTGCCAGTACAACTAGATGAGACTCAGGCTCAAAATAAAAAAGGGCTACTGTAGTTTAGTGGTAGAATCCCCTGGAGTCAAGCCCCGGTACCACAAACAAACCAAAAGTAGATGTGATTATCAGGTATTATAGACTTGATTTTCTAGTAAGGACATGAAGATTTTCTTGCTTACATTTTAAAAAATAATTCCTCTAGCAATTCAGAAAGTTTTTTCTGTGTCATATAAAGCTTATCTCCAAAACAAAAAATGTGTGTGTGAGATACTAGATTTTTTACACAGAATCGTAATTATACACTGATGAAAGAATCTTAACTTACAGATACTCAGTAAAGAACTTTCAGGATGTCAATGTATTTATCATCTACATTTAAAAGTCCTTTTAGCCTTTAAAAGTTTTCAACTTATTAGTCCTGTTTAGTTTTGGAGAAAACTAAATGTTTAAAGATCATGTTTAGAACTATCACAACTACACTAGGTGTTTTCTCAGGTAAGACCCCAGTCACGTAAAATATAAGATCTGTCCTAACAAAAAAATTCTACATAACTTCTCTCCCTTTCCATCTCTAGATGACAAAGACACACTGGTTTATAAGGATAGGAAATGACTTTTTGTAAGAAAACTATTTTCCAGAATATTTACTAAGTATTATCTATCTCACTGATAATGAGCACTTTGCTCACAACTGATCTCTATCTTCAGGTTTTTCTCCTATAATAGCAACCAACACCACAGCTTGGGCCAATAAAAATATCACTACTAAATGAAAGTTTTAGGTATTGTATGTATATTTAGTGGAACCATGCCACAGTTAATTTTGTGAAACTTTTACATTTTAAACTTAAAAGGGTAAGCAGCAAAAAAGGAATATATCAAGTATATTATAAGACATATATTAAAAATACATCTTTCTGTAATCTGAGTCATGTATTTCTGTAGACTTCTATAAAACTGACCACAGTATCAAAAAGAAAAGGAAGAACTCTCAGAAATACAGATTACTGTACAGTCTCTGAAACAAGTATAAGGGACTAAATATAGGCTTAATATCAAAAAGGAATGCAGTTGTCAATCCAGCTATCAACTCCAACTTCCAAAAATAATTCAAGTTCCAGAAACATCAAAAGAAGAGATAAATAGTACAAGAGAACACAATTACCTAGGCCTTAACCTACATATCCAAGTTGCTTGACAATGCTATGAGTTAACAATGTGGATTTTTCTCCTTTTCCTTCAAATTCTGGCAATAGGTTAAATGCTGTGGATTCCACATTTCCACACAAAGTCCAAGTGCTAGGTCTTTTAAAAGACAGAGGCAAGATAAGAGACACTGAGATGTACTCTGTCTTTCAACTTGCCAAGTACTAAGCATGTCAACATCTCCCTCTTAAAACTGTCTACATCTATTATCAGAAGATTATGTCATTAACCCTACAATTTAACTTCTTAAACTCTGCTTATGTAAAGTCAAAAATTATTCTGGCCTAACTTATCCTTTTATTTTATATACCCTGATAACTAGCTTACAAAATTCCCTCTGCTGGCTCTAATAAAGCTACCTCACTAAGCCCCAAGTGCTGATACACTACCCTGGCTCACATAATCCCAATTTATATCCAATCTGAGGTTCTTATCTTTGAGGCTCATAAATTTTATTTCTTTAGCAGCAACAAGCATAGATCAAATTTACTTGACTAAATATTTATTGTTTCCTTCTTATTCTATTCTCTTTGCCCTGATTTTTTCTGTAAAAAAGATTTTCTGGTATCTATCATAAACTGTGAAAAACACTAACAGTGGAGATAAAAACACATTTTTTCTACCTTTAAGAAGAGATCAAACCAATACAGAAGACAAATACTTCTATAAAGTATGAAAAATTCTATTTTAAAAAATTTTTAAGAATTCTACAAGAACACAAAAAGATGAGTAAAGACTTCACAAAGCAGTAGACAGGTGTTGAACAACAAGGCAGGATGTATGTGTTTCAGCTGAAATGGTAGAATGACAGAAAAGGTAGAGAAAGCCGAAGAATAAAGTTAATGTCTGATGACAGCTGAAGTGGCAGCTTAAAATATAACTGAGGATATCAACAGATCCTTTTTCTTTCATGCTTGCAAATTTATTTTAACCATGAATTTATGAGTTAGAATTATCTTAAACATACCACCCCCATTCTGTATACAAAATGACTATTATATGGCTAAACCTAGAGAAAAGAATTTTGAGGACAATGGGGAACATTCAAAGCAACCAAAAAAGATCATGTGCACTGGTGGGAAACAGTTGTGTTACATAAAATGAATCCTCAAAATTGTAGCTATAGAGAACAAGAGTATCAAATTAAAACTCGAGAGCTACATGCAAATTCTGACAATAGCTGTATTCCAATTATGACCAAACCTTTTACCTAATTTCCATTGCAGAGTTAATGTCAAATAAAAAAACAGGTCTGAAAGGTCCTTGAAGATACGTAAAATGCTATCCAAATATTCTTTTACCCTTTTTGTGATTATGTTTGCTAAACTGAAATGAATTTATAAAACCTACATTTCTGACTATTCAACCTGTTGCATATGATTTATGATAAAGAAGTTTTTACCCGTTCTACAGAGCGTGCCCTCTTCTTTGGCCGAGTAGGCAGCGTATCTTCCTTCGGATTGGTGTCTATTGCCCAATAGGATCCCTAGAGATAAAAAAATAAATTGTATTAACAGTCCAATATAGTAACGAGTTTGTTTTTTTAAATTATCTCCTGCTCCAAAAAGATACATTTTGCAAGCAGAACAATGGAAAAGCAGCAAACAATGTTAACAGTACCATGGAAAGAAGTGCTTGTTTTGAATGGAAAAAGGTAAAGTTTATGTAAGAAAAAAGGTCTATTTTATAATTAAATTATTAAGAAGAAAAAAACAGGAAATAACAGCAAGAATCAACTACGAGGATTGCATCAAATTAAAAAGCTACACAGCAAAGAAAACAACGGAGTGAAGCAACAGCCTGCTATATGGGAGACCATTTTTGCTAGTTACTCATCCAACAAGGATTAATACAAAGGCTACAAAAATAACTGAAAAAATTTAACACCGTAACAAATAACCTAATCGATAAATGGGTAAATGAACAAGACACTCCTCAAAAGAAGTACACATAGGCAGAAAGTATGTCAGAAAATGTCCAACACATCTTTAGCCATCAAGGAAATGCATATCAAAATTTTGTTGATATTCTGTATTACCCTACTCAGAAGGAGGTGATCATCAAGATTGGAAAATGAAAAACACAAAACAAAACAAAACAAAACAAAAGCAGCCAAGTGTGGTGTGCATGGCTATAATTTCAGCACAGTGGGAAATTAAAGCAGGAGAATTTCAAGTTCAAGAACAGCCTGAGTATCTTACAAGATCTTGTCTCAAAATCAAAAAGGGATAGGGCTACAGCTCAGTGCAAATGCCCTGAGCTCAATTCCCAATTCGGCAATGAATGAATGCTAGCAAGAATGCAAGAGAAAAAGGAACTGTCGTGTACTTGTTAGTGTGATTATACACTGGTTAAGCCATTATGGAAATCATTATGGAATAAAAATAAAGCTACCATTTTATCCAACTATATCACTTCTGGAAGTAAAATCAACATACCACAGAGCTATCTGCATACCCTTGTTTATTGTGTGTTATGGTTGATACCCAGTGTTAATTTGAGAAGTTTAAGTAAGGGACTCAGCAGGAAGCCAGGATCCTTACTTTGTAAATATCCTCATCCTGTGCAAAAGGAGGGCACAGAGATTTTGTGAGTGGGCTACAGTCCCAGTGGAGTGTGTGCAGGGGGGTGGCCTGTGTACAATATAAAGAAAGAGGCTTGATTCTCCCCTTTTGCTCTGGCTGCTGCCTTGAAGTGCTGCCCCAGTGCCAAGTCACCCTGTCTTGGAGTCAGTTGATAATGGACTGAAAACTCCACAACAGCTAAATAAACCTTTCCTTCCTTCCTTCCTTCCTTCCTTCCTTCCTTCCTTCCTTCCTTCCTTCCTTCCTTCATTTTGGGTGTCGGGTGTTTTGTCCCAACAATGAGGGAAAAGTAACAAGACATTATGGTACAATTCATAATGGCTAACCCATGGAAATACTCTAGTTGCCCATCAATTGAAGAAACAATAAAGAAAATGTGTTATATATATGCACATAATATAGAGTATTATTCCACCACAAAGGATGAAATAATGCTTTCTGCAAGAAAATGAACAGAATTAGAGAACATCTATTTAAGGGAAATAAGCCAACCTCAACTATCTTATGCTTTCTCTCATATATGGAGCGTGTGTGTGTGTGAAAAAGAGAGAGAGACAGATAGACAGACACAGAAAAAGAGACAAACAAGTAGGAGGCAGGAAGGGAAGGGAATTAGAGAAGAGGAAGGAGGAAAGAAAAATGGTGACTGGGATGTGAAAATGATTTAAAGTATGTTATATGCATATAAAATATGCCAAAATAAAACCTATTATTCTGTATAATATGTACTAATTTTAAAAATCATGAGCCAAAAACCTGAACTCCAAGCACTTCTGCCATAGCCAGATTAAAAGAAATCAACTGAATACATTTTAATAAACACTGTCAATTGAATACATATGTTTTTGTCATATGACATTCTTTTTAAGGAGGAAAATTTATTTCCATTTTCAAATCTACAAGTATTTTATGTACAGTGTACACTGTAGTTTCTACACCATCAGACCTCACAAATCTAAATGGTAGGTGAAATAATTTATAAAGGCAAACTGCCTGAACATATTGTAAATACTAAGGACATCCCGAGAAGCAAGAATCTATACATAAATGTTCTATTGCTTATACTTTGTCACAACTTATTTTAACTAGATAGTCTCTCTTTGATACAACTTACCTTTTTTTTTTTCAAAAGTATGCATTGAGCACCTATTGTATTCCAGGTACTTAGCTACTATGACTCCCTCCAAAAATATTTTTTAAAAAACATGGATCATAGAGTTTGCATACAGTATACAAACAGGGAGAACAAAGCTCAGAAAAATGAAGTACTTGGCTCAAGAAAGATGAGAGCCAGCACCAGAAACAAGGTCTTGATTCTTAGCTCCTACTTCAATTATCCTGTCTTTCTATATAAACATACACATAGGATACATGTACACACACACACACACACACACACACACATGCACGCATGCGCATATGTAGTAAAGGAAAGAAAAGCGGAAGAGATACACATTTCTGAAATATGAATAAAGCGTATACCCTATATTTACAATTTATTGCAGTGATAGTACTCAAATATAATCTTTAACTCTATTATTCCATTTATCTTACTAGACTATTTTTTCATACATGTAACAATGAAGGGAAATATAGCGCTCATCTCTCAAGCCTCAAACTTTAGCCTAACATAAATAGGCTTATAGTTTCTTGAACATACCATGTTTCATGTATCTGAGCCTGCTACATACTAATCTCACTGTAAAATCCACTCTACCACTGATAACTGCATATCCTACCTTAATAATTTATCTTCAGTTATTGTTTAAAGGAATCTTTCACTGATCTTTCTGCCATATTTAAGAATTCATCATTCTTTCCCTCTGCAACATTTCCACACTTTTCACACATTTGAAAGTCTTGATTCTTAGCTCCTACTTCTATTATCCTGCATTTAAGAGTTTTATGGGTCTGTCTCACTCTTTCTAACAACATTTCCTACTTTTTATACGTTTATATCACTGATTGTAGTTACAATTTTGTTTGTATGTTAGTCTGCCCTTTTTGGGCTGAGTTCCTAAAGGGTAGGAATTACTATATTCATTTTTGTATTCACAGTGTCAGGCATAATGTAGGACACAAAACAAGTATAATAAGAAGGAAAAATGTTTAATGAACTGCAAGAATATCAACGTACAAGCTATAATGCCAGGCCTTCTCAGGTCTTTCATGTTGGTAGTGACTGATTTCATCTCCTGGTCACTGCTGGTGTATTCCTGTATGGTACTTTTCAAATGGTCACTACGTTTCAATTGATGAAGCTACTGTATATGATACAAATTTGTTAAGAACCACATAAAAATGTAGATGCGATAGAAATCATTACAAGAGAAAACACTTTTAATATATGCTACTTCTTAAACGAATGTGATAATTACATTCATGACATATAAACTAGTTTCTACAAAGTACAAAAAATTCTTAGGCTCAATTGTTATAAAAATTGACAATAAAAAAATACCAAAACACTCAACATTGTTTGTGGAAATGATAAATTCCACTGTTTAGTTTTGGTTGGTGCTATGTATAAATATGGGAAAACTATTCACTGTCCACATGTTACACTTGTTATTAAACACTTCAATGAAACTACAAAAAAAAACCATGTCTGTTTTTCTACACAAAATATTATTGGCTGGGTCTTGTCAGAAAGAGCACTGACAGGAAAAAAAAGCTGTTCACAAGACTATTACTATTCCTGACATACTCACAAAACCTTGCAATACACCTATTTTAAGCATATAACTGAACAAGTCCTTACCCAAATCAAAATACGTAGTGTCCTACATCACTCTAAAAAGCTCCTTTACATGGCTCAGCAAGTAATTTCTCCTTTATTGCCTCTTACCTTGATTCCACACAACTGGTGATCTACTCTCTCTGAAATTTCGTAAGACCGAAGACTGTTTCTTGTCCTCATTGGCAATGTATGAGAGGTTCAGCTGCCCCATCCTTGCCAGCACTATTTTGTCTTTTGAATTACAGCCATCCTAGGGATCTTTAGTTATGTCTCAGTGGCGTTCATGTTATTTCCCTAACGAATAACAATTTGCATGTACTTGCCAATCATATATCAACTTTTCAGAAAGTATCTTTTGTCGTGTTTTAAAAGGACTTTTGGTTATTCGTGTTGTAAGAATTTTTTATATATTTTGAGTAAGTCCAAAAAAATAAGCCTGTTATAACTTTTTAAATGTGATGAACATTAACTGTTTAAATCAATTTAGGGAGGACTGACATCTATCAACAGTGAGTCTTTTGTGCTACAAACATTTTATCTCTATTTGTTTAGCTCTTCTTTATTTCCTTGTTGATACTTTAGTTTTCAGTGATCAAGTCTAGATTTATTTTACTACAATGTATCCCTGAAGTGTTCCATTATTTTGGATCCCTCTGAAATAAGTGCTTTTGCTCATTTTCCAGTTGTTCCTTACTAATATGAAAAAACTTGCATTGACATTATATTTTGTGACCTTGCTAAGCTCACTTATTAGTGTCTTTTCCAAAGATTGTCTGGGACTTTCTATATATGCAATAATGTTATTTGCAAATAAGAATTTCACTTTTTGAAACTTGAATGCATTTTACTTCTTTTTCTTGCATTACTCCATTGGATAGGACCATTAATAGAATGTTAATAAAAGTGCTTGATGTAAACTTTCTTGCTTTGCTGTTAACCTCGGAGAGAAAACATTAAACTATCACTAAGTATGATATAAACTACATTTTTCACAGATGCCTTTGAGAAAACTTTTATTCTAAGTTTGCTACTCATTAAATTTTGTTTAGTATTTCTTTCTATAGTTGAGGTTGTAGACTGCTTTTTATTTACTCACATGGTAAGTTGTATCAACTAGTTTTAAAAATTTTAACCTGCACTGCAATACTGAGACACCCCACT